TCACATGCAGCTCGCCATAGGCAGCTTGCCACAGGCAGCTCGCCACAAGATAGCTCGCTATAGGGTCCGTTATCAAGTAACCCTGAGCCCCGCGAATCTCCCTGTCTGACAACTGTACCTGTCAAACCTGAAAGTTGCACCCACGTCCCTTGCTTGGCGGCATCGCACCTGCCAACTCTGAGGACTGCACTCATTGTCTCTCACCCGGCGGCGTCGTGCTTGCCAATCCCGTAGGTTGTCCCCTGCCTGGCGGGACCGTACCATACAACGATCACATTAGCCCACCTGCTCCCCAGTCCTGACGATAACAGCCAATCACTCCGGAGCATTACCTGACAATAGATCGCCGCGGCAGAGATTTGGGATCAGCCCCTTAGAACCTGCCAGAATGTCAGTATATAAAGACTCCAACCCCCCAGGGGCCAAGGGATCGCATATTCACCACTCTCTAGCTCTCATCTTCTTGCGTACTCATTCTCTTTCTTAGCTCCCTACCGAGTTCTAACTTAAGCATCGGAGAGTCCCCGTCGGGTGTTCAACCCCGGGTCCCTTCGTCCTTCTTGTAGGTATCTCTTGCTCATCGCCAGCTAGAAGCCTCGTCACTTCCAAGTAGGAGTGGCCGGATTGCGCATCATCAATTGGCGCCATCTGTGGGAACACGCTACAAAAAGCTAAGTTCTCATCCAACAAAAAACTAAGTTCTTATCTTATAAAAAACTAAGTCCTCTTTTCTCAAAAAGCTAAGTCCTCATCTCCTAGAAAGCTAAGCCCTCACATTTTTAGGAACCGAAGCTCTTGCTTTATAGTTTCCATTTCTTATGAACTCAAAGAAACTAAAGCCCTCGAATTACGAGGTAGATGCAGTGCAATCATAGCTCTAAGGTGCCCACTCGGAGGTCTGGCGCGACCTATGCGCGGCTTGGCGGCCTGATGTGGCGTGCGTGCGGCCTGGCAGCCTGGCGTGACCTATGCACGGCCTGGCGGCCTGGCAACCTGGCACAAGCGCCGATTTGGCGGCTTGGCCCAGGCGTAAACTTACAAACTAAGAAGGCACCAACCTCAGAAACAAGTCTCGGAGCAACTAAGTCAAGAAGAGTGGACTACGAGTCACTCCCAAAGCCTACGGGTCACAATACTACTGAAAGACCCAGTCGCCTCTACGGCATGGGCAAAGTTCAGGAGTGGACTACGAGTCGCTCCCAAAGCATACGAGCCACAATACTGCTAAAAGACCCAGTCGCCTCTACGGCATGGGCATTGTTCAGGAATGGACTATGAGTCGCTCCCAAAGCCTAAGGGCCACAATACTACTGAAAGACCCAGTCGCCTCTACGACATGGGAAAAGTTCAGGAGTAGACTACGAGTCACTCCCAAAGCCTATGGGCCACACTACTACTGAAAGACCCAGTCGCCTCTACGATATGGGCAAAGTTTAGGAGTGGACTACGAGTCGCTCCCAAAGCCTACGAGCCACAATACTACTGAAAGACCCAATCGCCTCTACAGCATGGGCAAAGTTCAGGAGTGGACTACGAGTCGCTCCCAAAGCATACGA